CAGGACGAGGATTCACAGACGGCCTCCATAGCCGTGACAGGGCAGGACGAGGATTCGCAGACGGCCTCCATAGCCGTGACAGGACAGGCAGGAAGTTCACAGGTGGATATTACTGACACCTCTGGAGGTTCTACAGCAGTACCATCAGGAAAAAGGGAGAGTTCATTAATATTCTCTTTAACAGGACAGGTACAGCATTCATCCACGGTTCCTTCGACTACGACATGACAGGCTGAGAGTGCATTGCTGGGCGCCAATTTTTTGTACATTTTTTCAATGTTCTTATATTTTTTTGCCAATTAAAGAAACTGAAAAGGTAAAAGGCTTTAAATCAATGAACCGTATTCCTATATACTGCAAAAAACTGCTTTTTAAACAAAGTTACTCATATAAAAGAACATTACCACCATCCTTATAGAAGACAGCTTTATTAATTTTCAGTGTGTATCTGTTATTCATAAAGGGATAATATGTGGAGTAAAATGATGCTTCTAAATCAATTTCAAATAATTGAAATCCGAGAGCTTAATACTTAACTTATTTATATTATAAACACATTTTAGCACAGCTTATATATTGCTTTCTAATTTTAATAAAGATCATCTGGGGAATTGTGAATCGCAATTCATTAACACTTCAAATAAATTATTTTAACCATTTCCATTAAAACTAAATTTCCATTCAGAAACTGAGATGGAATAAGATGATTTGTCATTATTAATAAATTAAATGGTTAAATCACTCTGCAACCATTTAGTTTTGATCTACAAATTCTTTATGAGTTTGAAAGATCTTTCCAATCCTGTCATTTTAATATCGAGATAAAGTTTGTCCTTGATTGAAAATATCACAAATGCTCTAGTTTATCATGAATTGAAAACACTTCACAGTTCACTTCACAGACTAGATATAAAGCTAATCTGTATTAATAGCTTTGGGCTTTTGATTCATCCCTTTATTTCATCACATACCTTATTATTTGCATTTGTTTTCTAATGTAAATTTGGCGAAAAAGACTTTTATTTTGGTATGGCGATGTGACGTCATTAGGCTGCGCCGCGCCCCCTCGTCTGTTATTCTGCTGAAGAAAGGTGTGTGCTTTTAATCATTTAAATTTTTTAAATCAGTACAACTCGTTTAAAGAATTGTATATAAAACTGTGAAATTAATTATTGCCAAATGTAACTCTTTAATGCTTTATCTATCCGTCTGACATTAATGAAGGATATTTTGTAAGTCCAGTGATGGAGAAACGGAGCGTTTCGAAACCGAGTCATTTGAATCAATTGCTTCACAAAAATCACCAGCTGTGTCTGAAATCGCTCACTCGTTCACTAATCCCTATATAGTGTGTGGCAGATGAGTGGACTATATCAGACAGGAGTGAACGAAATGAAGTGAAAGGATTCGGATGGTGACGTATCTGCGCGTGAAAAACATCTTCGTCATATGTGCTTTTATATTACATGTACCTTAAAATAATATTAATAGCAATAACACTTAAAATTATTTTATATTGTAATTGTGCATACCTCCGTGTCAGCTTTGTGGTTTCATTGATGGTATATTATTAATTTCTTTCGTATTGCTTTGTTCATAATCATTAAATACTATTAAAATACAGTCAACAAAAATAAACACACATTAACACGTGTTCATAATTGTATGTATTTATTGTTTGTAGTATTTTGAAACTCTCCCGAGCAGCGTTTTGCACTCAGATAAGATGCCAATGGTCGCAGAGCGCCCTCAGGCAACCGTTAATTTTACATCAGAATGAATACGTTACCAACGGACATTTTTAAATATCCACCAAATTATCATCATTTTTGTAAATTAACAAAGATGCCACCTCAGTAAATTAATTAAATATTAAACCGAGTTAATGCCTACATTTATATAGTGGATAGGGAGTGGTTTCGGACACAGCTACTGTTTTGAATCACTCGAATGAGCGAGCGCTCGCTGAAGACACCCGGGGCCCGTTCTTCGTACGCCGCTTATTACATCCGAGATGAAATGTCACATCCAAGATGATATCACGCTAATCTGTATCTGGCTAATTCAGTTCTTCGAACGCACTGATTAGTCGATGAGCTTCGAAGAACCAACCAATCCAAGATCAGGCCAAATCATCAACAATCAAATCCAGCTAACTGAGTTAGCGACGTACGAAGAACGGGCCCCTGGTATAAAGCACAACAAACACAAACATGTGAAATGAATTTGACAGACCAACTGGAATTGATTACATTAAAGTGTGATCTATATAACCTACAAATCAGAAAATACCAAATATGTGTGAACTTTGTATATAGGCTGTATATGACTTTTTATTAATTAACCATTTTAATTAATTTGAGTGCTAGTTTTGGTTGTTTGTGTGTGTGTGTCTTATTAGGTGATTTAAGGCCATTATCTCTGACTCACTCCCTGACCAGTGCACTGACTACTGAACTAAGAAATTTGATTGAGATGCGCTCCAAGATTTAGTTTGGATTGTATTTTTTTCCCCTGTTAATTATTAATTATTTCTGTTAATTTCTTTTAATTATATCTTAAACAGGACAAAGTGTCCAAACACAGAAAAAAAACTCCTGAAGCGACTGAGATCCACGTGACACACTGTTATAAAGATGGAGTTTATTAAAGAGGAGAGTGAAGACCTGAAGTTTGACGAAACATTCAGAGCCAAACATGAAGATACTGAGACACAAACAGGTTGGTTTTCATTTTTAAAGCTGAACTCAAACGTTAATGTTTTTGAGTGACACAAACTGAAAAAAGAACACAAAGACATGAATTGTGCACTAAAGGAAACATCTGTTGTGATTTTCACGTTCTAACAGCATTAGCTGTAAATGAACCTTCAGAAGTTGATCTAGGATGAGTGTTTCTCCTGAACTCGTGTAGCAGCACACATGTGGGGTCTTCTTCACATTAAGACTCACAACATAAATGTGAGGAACAAACTCTGAATTGAACTTTAGTAACAGGTGGATTTGTACAGAGACCAGCTTCTGATTCTGCTAGTGGAAAAACCCCCCGGCTTTATTCAAATCCCACTCCTCCGCGTCACCCTAGCGCCATTTTGGAGAATATCCACTGAACACAAACAGCGTATGCTCTTCTGTGTATCCAACGTATCCGGCGTGACGCAGCTGACAGAGAAGAGTATACACTGTTTGCGTTCAGTGGATATTCTCCAAAATGGCACCAGGGTTTTTTTTTGCGCACAAAAAGTATTCTCGTAGCTTTGTAAAATTACGATTAAACCCCTGATGCCACATGGATTATTTTACCGATCTCCTTGCTACGTCTCTGAGCCTTGATCGTGTAAGGACCCTTGCTGTCTATGGAGGGTCTGAGAGCTCTTCTTATCTGAAACCCTCCACCTTCCCCAGCTCCACCTGTAAAGATCTGCTACGGGTTATTTTATATGTTATTTGTACAGCAGCAGTATGTCTTAAATACTCATGGCAACGTATCACCGTATGCATTGGCAGTAGCAAGTTCCTGTATTTGCTTGCAGCAGCAGCAGCAATAATCTACAACTATAGCAATATCCAGCAGCAGCAGCAATTCAGCAGCAGCGTAGCAGATCTATTCCACCAAGACCAAATACATTAACATTGTCATATCCATTACCATGCTAAATTCTTCTGAGAGTTGTCATGACAGAAATATTTATAAAACTGAAATAGTATGCTCTACTATGCTGTAAACAATAACATACGGTAGTCAACTCAAAGTTGTTTTCAAGTGCTAACTATATTCTGATAACTCGAATACATTTAGAAACATTTACATCAATATCTAGATGTCCATGCATCGCACGTCAGGGCCACTCTCTCTCTGCAGAGGTGATGTTTTTACACTCATCTTTACCTTTTTGTAAATCCTGGGCAGTGCTAAGTCTGTTATGTGTCTGTGTCGATTCAGGATCATATAGCGCAGCTCCGTAGTGTTCACCATACGCCTGAAGCCAAGGTTTTTAATCACACTATACAGCTTATTTTCTTTGCACGAGCTTTAAGTTTGTTGGTGGTATTATCCAGTGTAGTTTACCTTGAATCAACAGGTTTTGGCTGAGGTGCGTGGTGTCCTGTTAAGTGATGAAGCAAGTGGATTGTGTTTTCAGAATTTTTACTAAAGTGCACCCACACATTGGCTCCGAAAGCTGGAGGAGCTCTTATATTTACTGCCATGCTTGCTCGTGCTTACTTCCGAGACATTAGCTATGTTTCGCATTTTGGGATATCGCATAAAAAAACACTGGATGGAAACGCCAAGATGCGCATGAATTCTAAAAATGTGTATAAAAAACTTATGCGCTCAACTAAGTAGGATCAATTTCTTATCCGGTAAGAAAACATGCACATAAACTATGATGGAAACACTTTTACTGAGTAAATTCCTTAATGTGCATAAAAAAAAAAAGACATGTGACTTTGCGATGGGACAGCATAAAACTGGACAAACCAAAGGACCGATCTCATTGCACAGCATCTGAAATGCTAGTTTTGTCATTCTAATATGCTTGAGCAAAGTCTCGTCAAAGTACCTCGTTATAATTAACTCCAAGAACTGCGTTCCCAAACAGCAGACTCCGAAAATAAGATAACATGACCGCGTTTTGCCTGCGCGCTCTGAAGCTTGTAATTTACTGTATACACAAATTATTATATACAGTGCCTTCTCCTACTGCAGCAAATTTAGTTTATGATATTTAGTGCAAGTAATCAGGAAGTGACGATTTTGTTCTCTTCAACTCCCTGGATGGAAACGGTGCTTTATTCGCAAATGTTTTATGCGATATTCAAATTTTGCACACAGGTTTAATCCGTAACTTTGGATGGAAACATAGCCATTGGCCGTATGTATATGAAGGGCAACTGTTGGCTTTGTAAACAGTGAGTTAGTGATAGAAGCAGAGGGGGAGGTTGTTTGACACACACAAAGGGAGTTCATAAAATTTTAAATCTGTTTAAAGGGGTCATATGATGCGATTTCAAGTTTTCCTTTCTCTTTGGAGTGTTACAAGCTCTTGGTGCATAAAGAAGATCTGTAAAGTTGCAAAGACTAAAGTCTCAAATCCAAAGAGATATTCTTTATAAAAGTTAAGAGTCAACCACGCCTACCTAAAACGGCTCGTTCTAACACGCCCCGTTCAACTGCAACACCCGCTTTGTAAGATAGAAAGGCTTGGAATAGCCAGGGCAATTTTTAATATAACTCTGATAGGATCTGTCGGAAATAAGAAAGTCACATACACCTAGGATGCTTCGAAGGTGAGTAAAGCACAGGCTAATTTTCATTTTTGAGTGAACTAACCCTTTAATGGGAGTTTTGGTGCCATTGCGGAACTTGGTCAATGAGCTCAAGCTGAACTGAAATAATTGACAGCTCTAGTGATTATAAAGAGTGCTCTGTGCTCACTTTGATTATATCATGTTTGATCATTTCCATTTTTTTAATGCTTTCCCTGAACGCCTGTTCATAGGCCTACAGATTGCTTTATAAACTTTACATCCAAACATATAAGTCAGTGATCCAGGGTGTTCCATTTAAACCCATTGTACTGATTCTGCCATTATTGTACTCGTTCAACATGAGCAATAACGTACATCCACAAGATGGAGGGAAGGGAGTAAAAATTTAAAGTTGAATGATGTCCTGGAATACTCCAATAGTTTTTATATTTTACATGTCTCACACTGCAAGCATTAGTGCTCAGTTTGATTACTTTTCCACTGTTTATGTTCACTTAAAGGCCAGTTCACACTGCACAGACAAACGCCAACAAACTAGTCTGTTGGAGTTTGTTGGACCAGTGTGTTACCCCTGTCGGCGTCTGTTGGAGTTTGTTTTCACCCGACTGAACATGCTTAATCAGCGTTTGTTGGGTCCTGGAATGTCTGAGCAGTGTGAAATGATTTTCCAACAAACCCTGCTGTGGCCACGAACCGTTGCCATGACGATGCGCATATTTCACTTAAAGTGTGCTTCACTCATGGCCTCTTTCATTTTATTCACCATCTTTTCAGGCAAAGGATGACATGCAAAGACATTAATAACAGTAAAATTTTGATTGTGGTTAAAGGATCATCAGTTTCGTCCCCAATCAGACTTACACCATCAACACCGGATGCGAGCGGTGCGGCGTGACACGACAAAATACAATAGAGGTTGATTGATTATAATGAGTGTCGCTGGCTACACTGGAAGAGGCGCGATGTGACAACTGTCGCGTCCGATGTAGACACGGTGTTACTTGACTGTCTGTGACTCGAGGTTTGTTGGTTTCTGTTGGGGCAGTGTGAACATGACGGTTATTTTTCATAAAATTCTAAATCCAATAGCCGACTGTAGCCAACTTGTTTGTTGGCGTTTGTCTGTGCGGTGTGAATTGGCCTTAAGAGATAACTGACTGCATTTAAGTGAGAACTCACCAAGAAAGGCATTTTGACATTTTTGATTGTATTTCTCCATTTAAGTGCACACCCTGTGCAGTAGCCTATACTTGTCTGTTGCACACCATCTCGGATCACATGCAAGGAAAACCACCATGCTTTAAATGACAGAAACAGAACGCAGCATTGTGTTTTCATTGTAAGGATCCACCCGCAGCCCCAAAAAGCTGAATCCAGCGGCCTGGTCGAAGGTTTAATGCGTATTCGGTCTTTTACTTGCGCTTCTGAATTTATCAGGATTATTAATAACAATGGGATGGGATTCTAAAAATACCAAATGAAACAGTATGCATGTTTTTAAATTATTTTTTAATGTGTAAGAATCCATCCGCCAGCCCAAAAAGCGGAATCCAGCGGCCTGGTCGAAGGTTTAATGCGTATTCGGTCTTTTACTTGTGCTTCTGAATTTATCAGGATTTAGTTCCAATTTTAGTCTAGCTCCGTGTTCAATCTGACTCCAATTTCAAGTGATCATTAAATTTAGGCAATGTTTCTAATTCAAAACTGATCACAAATATCAATTGTTAATTAATTTAGATATTTGAGTAATCTAGAAATCCTTTCAATTCTTCGTTCATTAGGGACCAGAGACACAAACTCGTCAGTTCTAAACTTACTCAGAGGATGCGGAGTGGTTATAATACCTTTAAGTGAGCTGCACCCTGCATGCTCATAACAAAAAGTGTATTTTCTCCTATAACCACGAGAGCTACACCGTGTTAAGCCAGTGACAGTCAGGTAAAATTGTATCATGCCAATTACATAATGAAACAATTAGAAGCCAATTCAGAATTAAATTCAGTTCCAATTCAGATAAATGCAT